TCATGACAGACATCCTTATCTCGGACACAGTATAAAAAAACAAAGGTTGTAATACATCAATGTAATCAGAAAAAAGAACTCAAAACATTAGCTATAACATAAGATATACAGAGTGTTACCTTTGAAAAATACCAACTTGCGACCAAATCTCAAAAACGGTGGTCCAAAATTTTTTTTACTACGCCACTGGTTTTTAAGTAAAAATATCTACAAGCAGTTTTTACCTTTTTTTTTCTTATATGGGTACTAAAATATGATAAAATCCCAAAAAGTCAAACTTTTCGTTTTCACCCTGTATCTCAGAACCAACGTAGCTAGCTTGATTCTGTTTGTGGTATTAAAAGTTTCACAAAAAAGTGACCAGGGTCGCGAAAACCACAGGTCTCTATGTTTAAAAACAGCTGAGATACACGTCTCAACCAAACACTCAAACACACAACATTCTACTATACAGTGTGTAAGAGATAGGGAGGGCCACTATAGGCATTCTAGAAGGGATAAGTGACATAAATTTGTTAAAATGGGAGAAAAGTTGCACAACGAAAGGTCTAAGAAGATAGCGTTTAGAAACCCCTGAAAATTGTTTTGGTTTTTGAAATATTTTGAAAAAAATCGGATTTTTCGATTTTACGAACTATTTATTCCCAGCGTTAATATTTGACCTAGAGCAAAACCAATGACACTTCTCCACAGCATACTCTTTAAAGTGGAGTTGTAATATTTTAATCCAACGTTTCGTTAAATATCAACACCAGAAAAAAATAATTTCAAAAATCAAAAAATATTTCGGGGATTTCCAAGACCTCCTTAGATCTTTAAATACGCAACTTTTCTTCCATTAAACCAAATTTGTTTCTCTTACCGTCTCTAGAATGCCCATACCCTCCTTATCTCAGACACAGTGTATATAAGACTGAAACAAAATCAGTTTACGCCGAAAACGATGTCTTAAGTATTCAATAATTAGTATTTCCTTACGCCTCTTTCCTTTACGCGCATTGCTTCTAGCCTGTTGCTTATGAGATCTGATTCTACGTTTCTTAACCTTCCTCTGCTTGTATCGGTCCATCTGGCAAACAAGAGCAAGTTCAATAGGGGTTGCGGCAGTGGCAGGTAGGCGATTCGCCTGTGAAACAAAAATTCTGAAATAGTCAGTGATCAGCCATCTGAGTAAGTTACCACCGACACCAATGCACACTGTGGGGTTAGTTTGGAAGGTAGTTACATCCCAATGGAGATCAATGTATATTTCAGAGCTTGTGTTTACAGTGATGAGTTATTTTTGAAATGTGATGAGAAGACGATAGACTAAGGACAGGAACCCACACTTTACAGAAAGACAATCACAGGGATATTTTCATTATTTAATATTTAAATTAAATATTTATGAGAGTTTCCACTGCCGCATTTTATTTGTTTTTGATTTTTGTAAAATAAACTGAAACAACTAAAGTGACGAAAAGTAAGTGGCTTCAATAGGTCCATCCATAATCCACAACACATTATAGTTTGAACTTTCTACCTAAAGACCATTCAAACAAAATGTGTATGTACTCCAAAGTTTGCTTGTTTTATCCTCCTAGTCGGGAACATTTAAAGGCAGCATTTTTTTATTCTTTCAGTTGAAAATGTTCTACCATCAGAAGAGCTCTTCCAACACAATTTTCGTTGATGAAAATCTGCTTAATAATTTGACTCAGATTTTGCTCCTCCTGAAAGTTGTAGGGAAAATTACATTTATTTAATATTGATAATAATGATAATGGAAAAAACACGCGTTTTAGGCCTTGTTCAAAAATGGGTAGCTAGCACAAATACTACCACCCGCACACCTGCGCAGGCGCGTTCTGCCCAAAATCTTTTCAGCTCAAGCATAGATTAAAATTGTTTTTTTAATCTATGGCTCAAGTAGGTAACTCCTGAAACTCAATATCAATAACAATTTGATCAATATTTGTCGATCAAATGATCCAAAATTGTTGTATCCAAAAGAAATTCTTTTGACGCAAGAAACAAAGTGTATTAAAATATCAAAAAACCTTTCCAAAAAATTGCTGTCAAACAATCCAGAACAAATCACCATTGGTCAATAGTTTTATCCCCACTCAACTGAATAAGACATGCAAATTTAAGATATAATGATCTTTTTCATGAAGGCGACAGGGCCTCGTTAAAAATGAGCACCTGGGGTAATAATAGGCGGCTCGGCTATGAAGCTTAGTACTTGCAACAGGAATTCGTTCCATATACTTCTAAGTGGTTCTTACACTTAATACCATAAAACATCGTTAGATCTACTGTAGAACTGATGGTCAATTTTCTTAAAACACAAAAGTAGGAAGTTTGATTTCATAATTTGGTAGTACTTTTGTGTCAATCTAATCTGGTACCTTAAAAGCGAATACTATCTTATATAACGATCATTGGAGCAGACTTTGAATGGCCTTCAGTCAAGGCTGTTTCAACACCTACAAGCTCAAAAAACGCACCTGACTGACTCATAGATCTTGCACTCGCAACACTTTGCCCTACAACCCCTTTCGTCGAATTAACCGGCAAGCCAAAGTCCTCCTCATCGTGATCATCCATGACAACCATAACGTCCTTACCCCACGACTGTTTCGGGGCCGACGTGAAACCTTTCTCCGCTCCTCTAAAATGTTCGGTGTTAAAATCGCTCGGAGGAAATCTCGGCGGCGGCGAGAACTTCACAGGAGGCTGCTGCCAAGAGCGAGTCATTTCCGGAGGGAAGGCTGTCGGCTTTTCAATTACCGCGGGTGCCTTTGGCTGCTCGAAGTGCGCCTGTCCCTCGTCTGAGAATCTAGAGAAACGAACGTGCTTCCTATCGGAACTGGAGCTCCTACGTGCGGTTCCCTTCGGTCGCGGACTTCGGCTACGCTGAACCCGCGGCTCCCAATGGCTTTTTTTCATGTCGTTGTTACGCTCGAGCGGTCTTCTTTGCTCGCGACGATTATCTATATCTCCTCGAAAACCTCCGGAGCCCCGCACGCTGGAGGCAACTTCAGCGGCATGCATTCGAGGAGGGGTTCGAGAACGCGGTCGTCGAGTACGATATGACATCATGCACGGATATTATTTGTATACTTTACCTATACATGAGAATCAAAATTTAAACAAAAAGACTCAGAGGATGGCCCATCAGTTGTTAACTTAACTGCTAAATTAGGATAATGGAGTAATACGGTAAAATTTACTTACCCTTAAAGATAACCGGCGATCACCAATCAACCCAAACGTTATCTGCCTGATTTTGAATTTAACCCCGTTATTGATGTTGAGTTGAATTTAATCAGGAATGGAGAACAGCCAACAGCAGATCGAAAGGACGCTTCTGGATAAAACTACTCCAAGGGAATTTGTTTTTGTACTAAATTGGATGCAGTCATTAGCAGAATTTGAGGTTATGTTGAGATAATGCACTGAACTATAGAGTACATGAAATCAAGTCATAGGATGCGTCACAAACATAATCAAAAAGTTGGTCAATGCAGAGACTTGCTATAACTAGACCGCGCGTAACGTAGATTTTACTATAAACGCCTGTTGTCAAGATATGATAGGCAACCAACTATTCATCGCGGGGCAGACGTACGTTCTGCAGCTTGCTTTAGCATATGTTTATTCTAAATTTTAGTAGCAAAAAAAGATAACATATAACTGTTAACTGTTTTAATCGAATTTATTGGTATTTTATTTGAACTAAATTGGTATATAACTGCCTTACTCTAGTCCTAATTGGATTTATATGCGTATTTTGGTGGTGAACACGTATGGGAAAATATACTCTTAAAACTAAAGATGTAAGTAGTAAGATATGATTATTAAGCAGATTGACCGGCTTATAGCTCAGTGGTAGAGCATTGGGCTATACATCCGGAGGTCGGGTGTTCGAACCTGGTTTGAGGTGAAATTTGTATCTGTGGCAGAGATGAGAATTTCCTTAGATCAGTTTCGAGCATTCTGCCGGCTACTCCAAATTAGGTTCTCCTGCAGTTTTCCTAATTCGCAAGGTAAATACCGGAGTAGTATAGAACAACTTAAGACCTTCTGCAGAGGTACCTCTAAAAAGCATTATGCGGGTCACTCTGTAATTGTGCGTAAGCCTGTTGAGGGCCTAGAACAAGAGGGACAATAAATAAATAAATAAATAAATTTTGATTCAATATATGCATATCCAAAGACCCAAATGGGCTGTAACTGTTATTTATTTTTCTTAGACTGCTGATAACCATTTTGTTTACAACGCGGTGTGGTGTGGATTGAATGGAAAACCTGAACACATTTTCAGCAATTTGGGAAATTTTTAATGCATCGCTTGATACGTGAAACAATCCACGATTTTTAGCGCATTTTTGCAAATTTATTTGTAAAAAGTAGCTTTTAATCTCACTTTGGCTGGCTGGCTGGCTGGCTGGCTGCAAATGGATGTGGGGTTGGCGACTTTTGGGCGTCATCCTCGAGCGTAGTGTACTAACGTGAAGGTTTTTCAGTTCTTTCCTATCTTCTACTACAGTTTTGGTCCGATTCTTTTCAAATTGGTGTCGTCGAAAGATGTTGTAAACGCGCACAACTCCTGCGTGGCGGAATTTTATTTTTTGTCCTAGGGGCGAAATTAACGACCTTTTGCAAGGCGCGCGCGCGTCTTCGAGAGGTAGTCTACTTCGGGCGCCTTTTATGTTCCGTTGCGAATTTTGTTAAGCGGTTTAACGTTTCGTAAATCTCGAATCGCTGTCTCTCTTTCTCCTGTCGCCAATAGAAGATCGAGCAATGAGAAGTGCCCCAAAAATTAATTACTACCTTGTGGCAGGTTTTTAGCGAAATCCACCAACATGTGGGTGTAATATAAGTATACACCGAAAAAAGAAATGTGGTAGCCCCCGACACGATCTTCCCGATGGTGAAGTCAAATCTTCAAACGCGCATTGGAAGGGAACGGGACATCGGAAGTGGATACCGACAAAGGAAATATGGTAGCCCCCGACAAGATTTTACTGATGATGGAGTCAAAACTTTAAACGCGAATTGCGGGTGCACGCGGAAAGTGGGAAGCGGGTACCGACAAAGCAAATGTGGTAGCTTGCGACAAGATCTTTTATTGATGGTTGAGTCGAAAGTGGCTAATAGAATACTGATCTGCCACACAAAATGCGCTGAAGTCCCTTCGATCTCACACAAGAACTTTTCTTCGAATGGCTCTGATCCATTGGCCCTTTAAACTTTTATCCGTTGGAAATCTGCATATTGTTTAAAATTTTATCTAGAGAGTACATGTACACGCACAAGTTAACCTAAGTTTTATTGGTTTATTCTCAACAGAAATTTATCTGTTTACTAATTCGAGCTAATCACGAGAATGATTAATGAACGGAACATCTAAAATAAGAGCTCATTTCATTATATTGCACATCATCTCTGCGATTTTTGCCCCGCCGTGCATTGTGTGTTGCATACTGTGTCGACAACACCTTAGATACGTTAAGCGCAGTCTAGTTATAGCAAGTCTTTGGGTCAATGGGTTGGTTTAGTTGTCATTGTGACATCAAATTTATATTGGTACATACTCACTTTTTATATACCGTAAATCTTATATTAAATCTCAAAAAAGAGAATTTCGGCAGTTTCTCGCATTAGAACTTACCTTTGTTTATCTTGTCATGGATTTCTCTGTCAGTTGCACGTTTAGTTTCTAAAAAATGACATTCTTATTTTGAGGAAAATGTGCCTTGTCGTAGCACCAAAAATGCTTGCCGTGTGTGCGGACATTTTTTAAAAATTTAAAAAAATGTGCTATTGTTTGCGTTTTGTCCGTCCGCCCACTTCTGCGGCATTGAACTACTTTTAGGGGAATCCTGAAATTTTTTTCAATATGTAGCCTATGTATCCTTGAGGGCCCCCATGAATTATTTCTTGGGAGGCTGTTTTTGGAAGTAAAACGTGCCCAACTTTTACATGCGACAACTAACTAATCTCAAAATTTGCATACGCATGCCTTTAGTGGTGTCAAGTAAAGTTTTTGAAAATGGGAGGGTGAAGGGAAGGTGAACACACGTACTACCATCCTTCACGGTGTTCTAATGAAAGGTCGATTTCTACAAAATATAACTTTCTTGCGCGACTCTTAAAGATCTCAGCAAAAGGAACAGTTTTCTACCAACTACCGCCCTACTTTCTGACTCCTTATCAAAAGAGGAGTGGGGGGGGGGGGGACTGATTTTATCCTTCATGGTACTCTAATGAAAGGTTTCAACGAAAGGAATTAATTTCTACCAACCATAGCCTCCCTCTCGGCTCCTTATCGTGATCGGATATAAATTATTCCTTATATCTCAAAAAGAAGAACAGATTGTCGGAGGACGGTACTCACAAAGGGTGATTGGGTCGTCTGATATTCCGTTGAAAATAGCTGCATGATAACCAAGCAGGAAACATTTAGAAGAAGAATCAAAGGTGGCAACAACCTTTTATTGAAACATTCCATTTCCATTGCGGTCTCATTGCTGGAATAACTGGAAGAAGTTATCTCAAAATTACAAAAGCTATCATTTTGTTGGTGAGCAAGGTTCACACAAGAAATGAATCCGAGTCATATTAATGTTTTAGGGAGAAGTAAAAAAGTGAAATAATCAAGACTGTGGAAATTAAGTTGTACAAATCAGATTAAGCAAGTAAAGGAATTATCACATCTAAAAACTATGCGCAGATGACTAATTTTGGGTGTGCAGGAACAGCTCAGTGGCGCACTAATAGGTGCAATTAATAGAATATGAATAGTAGGGATGCGTGATCTTTCGCCTTCTCACGTGTCGGCACCTGTTGACAGTTGTTGATTTCCAGACCAGATCCCTAGTCTTGTGGATTTTGGAACAAATCAGGGACGATTTTTAGACATAGAAAGGTTTTAGATTCTCCGTGCACTCGACTTTTGCGAATTCTGTTGATTTAGTGTCAAAATATCACTTGACTAATATGAAAGACAGATTTCTGGACTTATGGCGCTTATGTATGTGATAGAAATACTTATATTCAAGTGTTGGTTTGAAAGAAAGTTATAGAACAGGCCATGTTTTACTTTTTCTGGTCGACAGTATTTGTCTTTCATTCAGTGATTGGGGCGTTTGCTTGCAAATTGACACGTCTGCCCGTTTCAGTTTTCCATAATTGAGCTTTTTTGTCTCTGTTGGTTTAAAATATAATAGCGTTACCACGGCAACCTACCGTTTATTGATTATCTCAATCTCCGCAGGTATACTTTTAACCCTTCCCTGCATCGAGTTGGGAATTAAACAAAAATTGCTTGCCCTTCAGGCGTTTAATGAGACACAGATATCGACATTTTGAATGTAGTAGGTACACAAAAAAACAGCGTGTAAGTAATGCACATCCTCATAGACATAAATTATTATGAGTGACGCACGTTTTCCCGTTCACCACACACGGAACATGCCCATAATTCATGCATAAATAAGTAAAAAAACCCATAAGCATTGCAGTAGCGCAATATTTGCCCTCAACTAATTATCTTGCAGTAAGCGCCTCCAAGTTTATTTTGGATGAGAGTGTCGGCTTTATTTAACCCAACCCCATTGGCCTTATCATAGTATGGTAGGGCTTTGCACTTTTGATACCACTTAAACAGTGTAGGGTACATCTCTGAAGATACCGGTAACAGTATACTGGATGTACTAATTGATGACACACAACAGAAATCTGCAATTGTAACTGTTTCTCCCAATAAAAATGGCCCCCGTTCGAGGAACGTGTCCAAAATTTGATACCCTTCTTTCAACGCGTACAGTTTCTCCTTCGGTATTTCTTTGACACCAAATAACAATATCGGAAACTGAAACAACGCGCGTAAGTTTTGGAAGACACCAGAGGCACTCACCAGTAAATGATCTAGTCGTGGAAGAAGCACGTTGGAATTAAAATATAATTTCTCGTCAACCACGCTCGCTTGTTTAATTCTTGGGGGTATAAGTTCGAGTTAGATCCAAATTTTGCTACAAGATACGCGCAAATCGCGTGTCCGTCGCTTATTACTAATTCATCATCAACTAAAGTTGGAAGCCTCTCCAAAGGATTTAACTGCACAAATCGTTAACTGCGAAAAGTCTATAAGCAAAAGCACTTACCTTAATTAATTCTGAGTTTTGTTCCTTACTAAAAAAATTCACTTCCTGCAGGTCAATTGCCAAGTCCAATGCTCTCACAGTCAAAAGTACGGCACGACTAGTCGGACACACGTCGTCATAAAAAAGCTTAAGTACCATTGCTAATCACGCAAATTTATGCGAATAATAAAGCTACCGCGCCTATACTTTCTCGCAAATGACGGTTTCAGACTGATACTTTTTGTTCGATATTTCGAGTTGATTGTTCTATCGGCCTTCATGTG